AAAAAAAACCTGGAAAGAAATCTACAGCTGTTTCAGCCACTCAGCATCTGTGACTCAAGTGGAGAAGGCAAAGGGAGGTAGAAGTTGAAGCCAAAAACAGGGTTACGGGAAAACAGAAGCATGATGCCAAGTAAGAGCCATCGCAGGCCCAAGCTCCTTTGCTTGGATACAAAAGGCTACCATGCTTCAAAAATAGTTTCTGTCAAATGATCATCCCATAGTAATAGGATATTTACAAGAATGTGTGTGTGTCTCAGGATTAAGTTTGAAAGTATATTCGACAAAGTCAGTTGCATAACCTCGCTTTTAGAAGAACTCAAACACACCACAAAGTTTCTAATTCTTGTGGATGGAAGAAAGGAGTGAGAGTGCAGAGTTAATCCCCTTGTGCTTTGACATGCCAGCCCTTATCAAAATGATTCATTTGTGTTGTTGTTGTTTTTAACATACACATACATGTATCCTCGTGTAAAATAATGAGAACACCTGTGCCACAAATTATTATGGGAAAAATTCAGAAATTAGAACAATGAAACCTAAGAAGCAGAAGAACTGAATGCCCATTAAAATCGTATAAACAAACCAGATCAGTATCTTCATAGCTGCATCGACTAGAAAATACAGATAGGGCTATTTGATATTTAAAATTTTCAGATACAAGCTTTCAAGTCCCAAAGATCTTTCAGCAAATTATGAGAGAGAAAGGAAGGAAGGAAGGAAGGAAGGAAGGAAGGAAGGTAGGTAGGTCTCTTCCCTGTGCGTGAAACAACTTCTATCCTGAAAACCTCCTTCTTGGAGATGTATCTCTAAAACGCAGGATGCACGCTTTCAGTTCTAGCTGACACAATTAAATGAGTATTAATTCCACTGGAAAAGTTGCCAGTCTACATGACAATACAGCAGCAGTAGGAAGCAAAAAAGAGTGAGTAGTAACACAATGCTGGTTGATACAGCTGGCCATTAAAACACACAGACTGAGCCAAACCCTTGGACAGATAATCTGGGGCTGCAGTAGACAACATAATTATGAGACCTGATACAATTACTGTTTTCAGATGCCAGTTTGCACACAAGAGTTTTCTGTACCCCGTCGGTCGGTCATGCAAATGCCTAGACATGCAAGGCGATGATGAACAGGGAAAGGACAATCGGCCTGGCTGTTCTCATTAAGGCACAGGGGAAACCAGAGACGTTGCAATGCTGCGATGAAGGGAAAGCTGCAATCCAATGATGTCAGAAGTCTCTGTAGGCATTTGCTCCTCGCACCTGTTAGCTGGGAGGGAAGGCAGGGAATCTCCCTTCATAGCCCTGGCTTATGGGCCTGGCAAAGGCAGTGGGGGGAGATAGTAGTAAGCAAACAGATCAGCTCTTGAGAGCAATTTTAGACTGTTCATGGCAAAATGTGCTTTCCTCCACACTTTGGAAAGGAAACGATCTCAAGCTAATCTGGTAGGTGCACATTTGTGCAGCAGTTTCTCCTCTAACTTTGGAAGGGCCAGGAGGTCATCCACTGACCCCACTGTTTGTTCAGCCAGCAAGCGAAAGAGAGAATGAAACAGGATAGAAAAGGATAGAAGAGGGCTTGATCAGCATGGTTCAAGCACAGGAAGCAGTGGAATGATGCCTGCTCTATGTGTCTTTCTCTCCCCCCAAAGTTGCCCTGATTGTGACCTTTAACCACCTCCAGGATTTTTCTCGTTTCAGCAACAAATCCTTTCACCCTTAAAGCTGGAGGCTTCTGTAATATAGAAGTGCCAGTGGATATACTCCCACCTTGCCCACAAGCTATCACTGAATAGCACTGTTTCTCCAAACCTTGACTTGGAAAGCCTCTCCAAGTTAATTAACAATGTGAGCCTCTCAAAACTGTCCCTCCTGACCAAGACTTAACAAAGAGCATCCAAGTGGGAATCAAGTGACCCATGGCTAACCACAAAGCTACTCATGTGGCACCAGTCAGCGATCCATTTTTGACTCAATCAAGAGGGAAACAAACATTAGCCAAATGGGAATGAAGGAAAAGTTCACATTTAAACTATACCCACCTCCTGGGGGCATCTGACCTCAGACTTCTGAAAACCATACAATTCTAGCAGTCAGGGAATTCTAGCCTGCCTAGGAAAAGTGTTACATTATTTTAAAAAAAATCTTGGGTTAAGAGATTAACTGCTCTTTATTTATTTATTTTCATCTGAAGTTGGGTTCTGTCCCTCACTCAAAAATATGTTCAAATCCACTATAAAAACTGCTAGTTTTCAAATAGCCGTGTTATTCTGTTTCAGTAAAATGACAGTCCTGTGGTACCTTTAAGATTTTGTTTTTGCTGTGCCTTCAGGTTGTTTCCAACTTAGGGCGATCCTAGAGGCAAACCTATCATGGGGTTTTCTTGGCAAGTTTTCAAAGGAGGTTTGCCATTACCTTCCCGAGGCTGAGAGGATGTGACTTGCCCAGTGGGTTTCATCACCAAGCTGGGAATCAAACCCTGGCCGCCAGAGTTGTAGTCCAACGCTTAAATCACTGAGCCACATTGGATCTCTTACCTTTAAGTGATTTACTTTAGCATAAACTTTCATGAATTTCAATCAACCTCCTCAGATGCACTGAACAATACTAAAACTTTACCAAAAACAGTGCATCATCGAAACTTATGCAACTCCCTTGTTGGATCACAATTAAGAGACTGCTAAAAGAAACCATAGGGGTGGTGGGAACAAGGAATAATACCAACCCCATTTTGCATTTGGTTTGCTTTTAGATTTTGCACATATCCTACTTAAAGAGGAACAGGAAACACTGTTGATTTAGGAGAGGGTGTTTATGCCTTTTCAAAGTCTCTTTAAGTTTTCAAACCAGATCAAATCCAACTGATGTTTGGGGGTTTTTTGGGGGGAGGGAAGACATAATCCGTAACTATTACCCACATTTCACTGCCATCCATCTCAACATAGTACAACCTAGGCGGGGTGTTTTGTTTCTAACCAAGTTAAAAGAAAACACGCACCCCTCAAAATTACTCCCTTTGACATTTCTCCCTTTTTCTCCCTGCAAATCAAGACTTTCATACCACGATGTAAACTTTGGCTGAGCATTAAGAAAAGTATTATTTTACAATCTCTATGTATTTTGTTTTAAAGCAGCCGTTTGCCCTGGCTGGTTCTGCTGACAGGATTAAGTCCTGCTGCCAGACTTGGGAAGCCAAGAGACAGCTGCCACATAGTCATTTATTACAGAGTGCCACTCCTCTGGAGTCAAAAGAGAAACAGACCCCTTATTTTCAGCTGTGTTATCAGCAGGGGTTTCTTTGCTCTGAGGGCTTAGTGACTAGGCCTCTTTCCTAAACAAATGTCTCCTCCTCTTCTTCTCTATCACTCTCCCCCCCCCCCCAACATCCAGCCCCAGCCTCCTCTTATCACTCTCAGCATCTTCCCTTCTGCTTCCAGTTAAACAAGAAGAACTCTCTCTTCTCCCTCCTGACAGCCAACATTTCAACATGCAAAATCATCCAAGACTGGCACTTCTATATTACAGAAGCCTCCCGCTTTAAAGAGCAAGTTCAACTGGGAAACTATACAAAAATTTACAATGAAAATGTATTTCCCTAATAATGGTAAAGTGCAGATGGATTTTGGTTGCTGGTAAATACTTGACAGTTGCCTTTCATGTCAATAACCCTGGGGTGAACTATGTGTAGTTACTCAGACTACAACTCCCATCATCCTTTTACTATTGACTAGACAGGGCTAGCCCAGACAGGACATCCAGTCTCACAAAATCTGAACAGACACAGGTTCCCCAGCAGTCCATGCCAAGGTCTCAATATCACTCTACAAGGGTGGAAAATTAATACTGTGGTTTTCATGATGGGCAATCAAAAATTTCTTCTTTTCCCCTTCCTGTACCTTGGATCAAACACTGAGCAGAATGGAGACTGGAGTCAAGAAATCAGAAGAAGACTAGGAATGGGAAGGGCAGCTATGAAAGAACTAGACAAGATCCTAAAGGGCAAAGATATCCAACTTAACACTTAAGCTAGAATCATCCAATCCACTATAGTTCCCATCATCATGTACGGATGTGAAAACTAGACAGCGAAGAAAGCAAACAAAAGGAAAATTAACTCTTTTGAGATGTGGTGCTGGAGAAGAGTGCTGAGGATACCGTGGACAGCCAAAAAGTCAAACAGGTAGGTTTCTGAGTTACCCTTCCCCTTACAAAATGATAAAGCCAGAAATTTCCCTGGAAGCCAAGATAACCAAATTAAGACTCTCACACTTTGGCCACATCATGAGAAAGCATGGCTCATTAGAAAAACAATCATGCTAGGAAAGATGGAGGGCAAAAGAGAGGAAGACCACACATTAGATGGATACTCAACTGGGGAGTTAGTTCATGGGCATGAACCTCCATCACAGTGCAATGGAGGATGGGAGGCTTGGAGAGGTCTCAATTACAGGGTCACCATGAGTCAGGGACAACTTAAGGACAGTTAACAGCAACAAACAAAGGTTGGGGCTACACTAGTTGAAATTTAGTACCATATGGCCCCTTACAAGCCCCATTTGAGAATTTGCTGACTCTGTCCTCATTACATCTCAAGGCCAAATCTCTCCCATTCCATGTCTCTCTCCCCCTGCCTGCTTTTTGGAACATGTCACCTGATGAAGAGATGCAAAGCACTCAAAAGCTTAGTCATGCTGCTGTGACTTTCTGGGCTTAATAAAGGTATTACTACTGCATGAACTTTGGAATATATCTAGTAGGATAAATGCCACTGGCCCAAACCCTTGGCCACCTGTGGCATAGAGAAGAGATAAGATAGCCTCCCACCACTTATCAGCACACACATATTAACTCTTGGCATATGTTCAGTCTCACTTAGTCATTTCAGCTGTTGCAAGCCTGGTTACCCTTCCCCTTACAAAATGCATTTGCCCTACACAAAAATATTCTTCCCAAGTTCAGTGGGGCTCATTCACTAGACTTCATCCGTGTTACATTTTTACCTGGAGTAGGACCCTATGAACTCAGTGGCAGTTACTTATGATCATACTTGCGTTCTAGGGTCTCTAACCCAAGGTAAGAGATAACCCTTTGCTCAACTTTAGTTGAAGCAGGGGTCTGGCAAGGTCTCTGCAGCCACACTGGACTTTGGAAGACTTTGGAGACCTAAGTGATATCAGTGACAGTCCCCCATATAGGACGGGAAGGAACTTGGGGCTAAGTTTGGTGCCAAGCAGCCAGGACACCCAGAGCCTTTCTGAAGGACATGGCTTGAACATCCAGCAAATGTCTTCCTGTCCACCTTCAAGCTGGAATCTTCCTCTGTGGCCATACTGCACTCTCTATGGGTCAAGTGCATCTACAGGGGATGATTCCCCATACCCTCCCCAACTCCAAGTAGGAGAGGAAAGTAAAGCTCTTCTCGGTATCACATCCAGAGAACAATACACAGCCAGCCCTACCATTAGGTAGAATGAGGCGGCTGCATCAGGCAGATCTGGGTGTCATGAAAGAGCGTAGGATTATCTAATGTGCTGTTGTTGCATTTTCACTGTCTGAAATGTGGAGAAGTGCTTTCAAGATGTTCTACCTCAGCTGCAAAAGTAATGGTCACTAGCCTTGTGTCCTATGCCCCTTGGAGGGAGTATTTCCTGCTCTCCTTCAGAAAGCAACATGTGATGGGGTCAACCTTGGAGCAATGACATGGTGGCAGGATTATGGGCTGCTGATCTGAAATGAATGAAAGTAAAACTAGCATTTTGATAATACATGAAGCTAGCACAATTCATACTGAACACTGGAGGAATACAATGTATTACTCCTGTTTTCAGATATGAACAAATGTGTTGAAGTGCATAGTGTCTATATGTCCATCTGGTACATTCCAGTCTTCTCCAATATGGTACACTCTCTGATGTATTGAATCAAAGCTCCCATCATGCCTAGAGAGAATGGGAATTGGTTTTGCTTGTTGTCGGTGGTCTTTGAATTGTAGTCCAATGCACCTGAACAGATAACATGTTAGGGAAGGCTGTCAGTTTACATCCTCAGCTGACTTGTAGATCAGTTTTGGTTAACAGTATCCTCTTCTTCATCCTTGGCTCACATATTCATAATTTAACTTTAATTTTAGTTAAATATCAGAGTACTATTCACAGAAAAAAATCTCTCTTAGACAAGGCTTCTCAACAGTCATTCATTTGAAATAATTTATTTCATTTTAGTAGTTACATATACGAGAGCCAGCGTGGCAGAATGGTTTGAGTGTTGACTACGACTCTGGAGACCAGAGTTCATTTCCCAGCATGACCATGAAACCTACTGGGTGACCCTGGGCAATGGCAATGGCAAACTTCTTCCGAGCAAATCTTGCCAAAAAAAACACATTATAAGTTTGCCTTAGGGCCTATCCCTGCTCCAGTCCTACATCATACTGGTTTCTCAGATAACCAAAGAAGGGAGCATTAGAAAAGCCAGGATTGTTTCACTGTAGTTCATCTTTCTCTTAAACCACCCATGACTAAACACAAAGGATAAGAAGGAGTGGACATTCTAGTAAAAGCATTGGTGGATCAATCACTTTTGTGGACTACTCTGTGATGACGACTTCACAGATGAGCTAAAATAAGAGGCATTGTAGAGGAAAAGGTGAAGATTTCACTCCCAAACAAGTTGTCAGTATGACATAGGAAAGTGGTCAGTGAATCTTAACGGCTGCAAACAGATGGCAGAACATACCTATCAAGAATTAAGCCTAGGCCAACAGGCTCACTTCGTAGGATCAATCTCTATATTAGGAAACCAGGAGCAATAAACAAGCCCACTGCCTGTCTGATCACTACAGCAGAAGCAGCAATGTGTGGGGGCATCATAGCTATACTCCTGGTCAGAATATGGAAATATATATTTGTGTGAGTGTGAGGATTATAACTCCTAGATGGCCAGAAGATTTTGGAAACTATCATCCAAACAAGTACCTTTTCTGAGCTCTGTTTCTCGTTGTTGTTGTTGTGTGCCTTCAAGTAATTTCTGATTTATGGCAACCCTAAGGTGAACCTAACACAGAGTTTTCTTGGCATGGTTTGTTCAGGGCAGGTTTACTTTTGCCTCTGAGGCTTATAATGTGATTTGCCCAAGGTTACCCAGTGGGTTTCCATGCCCAAGTGGGGATTCAAATCCTGGTCTCCAGAGACAGAATCCAATGCTCAAACCACTATACCATGCTGCTTTCTATGTTCCTAATACAGATCCATATTCCCTCTGGAAACCAAGCATCTATTTTATCTACTAAGAAAGGTGACAGAGAAGTAGCTACTTGAGATGGAAATGGAAGAGGGGAGGTGGAACAGCAATAGTAAAATCCAACCCAATTATTTTTAGCCCCAGCCTCTGTAAGATAAATAATTTTTTGAAATGTGTGGCCATTTTTTAAGGAACCAAAGTAACCAGATAACTAGGACCCTTGTGAAAGCCATAATGTATGGTACTCACAAAACAAGTCCTAAAAAAAAGAGACAAAAGTGGTAATCCCG